GTCTGGGGCTGCAGCATCCCTGCCCGTGCCGGACCACCCCAGTGCCGGGGACCACCCTGCTGCCCAGGCTGCCCCCAGCCCTTCCCACACCAACGCTGCAAGAGCAGAGTCCTACGGCCGGCGCTGGCCCCCTCCCTGTGGCCTTGCCCCGGGAAAGCTGCTTTCTTCCCCCTCCTGGACGAAACAGCTGCAACAAAGAGGAAAAGGAGGAGAAAAGTGTCTCTCCTCCGCCCAGGCGCCGGAGCCAGGACCCCATCGAGCCCCATCTGCCCCTGGCACGGGGTGGATGGAGCTGAGTAGCCCCACTCACTGCGATCCCGCGGCTCCTGCCCAGGCGCCTCGCTGCTCTCCGGCGTGGAACGACTGCGGCTCTTCCTGACCACTTTGCTCTGACGAAGGCCCTAGGAAAGGCAGCCTCTCCACCCCCACCCCCACCCCCCCCTCACGTCTCTCCTCCCAAACTCCAAAGGAAATCAAGGGCCTTGGGAGCCAAAAGCTACAAGACAAGGGGAAAAAGAAAAATAATCCCATGGTGTCAGAAGTGCTGTAAGCAAGGGGGAAGGGAGAGTAAGACAAACAGCCTGGCAAAGGGAGAGGAGGCACAGGCTGCAAACCACCTCAGCTGAACGCATCTGGGCACCCGGGCAGCAGGACAGAGGGCGGGGAAACAAGAGAAAACAGGCAGCAGAGTGGATGTGGAACAAGAAAAAGGCCAAGGGAGGGAAACCCAGCAAGGGCAGGCAGGGATGGAGCGGGAGAAGGAAGAGGGAGCACTCGGGATGTGTGGGTCCCCTGACTGGCAGCCTCAGGGCTGCCCATGGCGGCAGGGCTGAGGCAAGGGGGACTGGCAGTGCCAGCCCTGGGAGCACACGCATGCCAGGAAGCAGGGCTACCCCTAGGGGGCTGCAGGGCACGAGGCAAAGCTGGGACCGTGCCGGACTTTCGAAGGCACTCCCAGCTTGCCTTTAACTCGTTCCAGCACCGAGTGCATCCAAGGGACATCATCAGATGCCGAGCGGTGGGGCGGTCCTGTGGCTGGGGGGTGTCCCCGTGCCCTGCAGCCAGCTTGCAGCAGCTGGGATGTGCAGGGAGCGACGGAGCCTGGTGGGTTCGAGCCCCCTGAGCTGGGGTGGCTGTGCGGGAACAGCAGTGGCTGCAAGGGCAGAGTGGTGCTGACCCGAGCGGGTCCTGCTCCCAGTAACCCCAGCTGGGCAGAGGACTTTCGCACGTGCTCAGGTCGGGTGAGGGCAGAGGGAAACATACCGGCACTGCTGGCTCTCTCCTCCCCATGCCAGTGCCCACAGCGGTGCGAGTGACTTTGCTGGCTGAGCCTTGCTGCCCCGGATGCCCGGGGCCAGGCTGGGTGCTGGCAGGGAGCCGCCTGGCTCCTCTCTCCCAAGGTGTGAAGGGGCTGTTGTTTTTGGCCAGCTGGGAGCTGGTTTGTGGCCGCGGGGTGTTGCCAGGCTTGTGGCCATCAGGATGGCCTGGAGCCAGCCCGGCCAGTTCAGCCAGTTAAGCCAATAGGGCCACAGCCCTTGCTGGGGCAGGGTCCCCTCCCTGCACCATGGGGGCACCAGCCTGACCACCTCCAAGACCCATCCATTTCCCTGGGGCCCTGCAAGCCCCCCAGCCCATCGAGGGCACAGCCAGAAGCCCGTTCCCCCTTGCAGCCAGGCAGTCTCCCCT